CTTTTTAAAACACAATACAGGATATTTAAAATATACTTTATATTAATACTATGTATGTACTTTATTTGTACAAAAGTCGTAGCTCGACTTTTGAAAAAAATAGTCATTGAGAAATTACAATTTTCTATTATTAATCGGTATCTTCATTGTAACCGCGTAATTACTCGAAGAATTTATATATATGTATATATACATATACATATAAATTCTTACCACTCCTAAACTATTCTTACCGATAGATTGCAACTGAATATCATCATAAAGTCTGAAATGATTTTAAATTTCGTTCAAACAAAATGATGACAATTCTTCGGATCTGTAGTTTAAGCTGTTGATGAAACGGCCAGCTTTTTCAGATGCTCCATGAATACTTGTAAACTAACATCGTCAGTTAGGACAGGGGCTCCGCTCTCCTAAATCAACATAAATTCCGATTATAATCCACTGACCACGAAGTATAACAAATATCTAAAAAAACCTTAAACCGCACGAGTACAAAGTTAAGTACCAATAAAACTCAAGCATATAAAATGTAAGAAAACTTGTTTTAACCCAGTCACCAGTAAATTGTAACGATAATGTTATACATATGTACAAAAATGTTGTATTATATAATATATCTTACGCGTGTTGAATAATAAAGAGTGGTTAACAGATAAATTAAATTGTGTCAGTAGTAATATTGCTTTTATAATAGTGGAGTAACGATCGCAATAATCATTGAAAGAGTTGATAGCTATCCAAGAAAAATTGTGATAGATAAATAATTAAGTGTGGTGCTGCAATAGAACACAAATTGTTTAAACATCCGTGTTTTCCATTACCAAAGCAATTTAAAGCAAATGTAAAGAAAAGAACTTTAAAAAAAATAATCAAATGAATGAAAAACACACCCCGTTGGGAATTGGCATCCCCTGGTAACAGGATCACGGTAACATAAAAATATATTAGTTACTATGATTAAAAATTTGAGTTTATGTATATATATATATAATCGATACGGAATATGAAATAAAAAAGATATGATAAATGTGTTACATATAACGTCGTATATAATTATTATATGATTGAAAATAGATTCACTTACCGCTCCATAGGCATACATATTATTGTGAGTTTGACTGGGGTTTACTTTGCTTAATAAAAATCTTGCTTGTGAACCGCCTTGTTCAGTATCGATATACCTAGGTGCGGGGAATCTTCCAGCTAATATTTCTGCGGCATCGTCAACAGGTGCTGCTAAGAGTTGCCGGAAGTTTTCATATTCCGGTAAATCTTGATATTTTAGCTGACGCCACTGTGCGATCGTCTGTAACCATCACAACGTTGTAATAAAGTTTCTCATTGTTGTTCAAATGTATAATAGATAAAAACAAGTACTTCGCCGTGAAATATAAGTATTTGGAAGAAAGTGTCCATCAATAAGATCCTATCTGGTTGTATGGATGAAGTATCTAATAAAACTGGCTCCGGAGGGCCGCTGAATCCATAACTGTACAGGATTGGTTGCACCATTATCAAAGAGTTTGTTAAATCCTCCCGCATGAGCATGTGTCTGCAATATTAAATATAACATGAAATTATTCGACTGGATTAGAGTATACCAATTAGTACACCATTTCTATAGTATTGACAATATTTATATCAGCTTACCTGTAGAAGCTAGTTTCATCAGGAGAATTGTTAAATACTTGTATAAACTGTGATCTACGAAGGTGATACATAAATTGAGGATACAATGAAAAGTTCTCTGCCAATCTAAAACTATTTGGATCATCCTTAGCATATTCTCCAAACTTCTGACACTGTAAGAAATGATCATGAATTTACAAGTCATGTCGCTATCAAGCTTTTGGAAAATTAGAAAATACTAACTAATCTAATGAGCATACGATCAATCCATCTCAAAACGTCTTGTCCGTCATCGCTCTCCGCTCTAAAAACTGCTAGGCGGGACATGAGGACAGTAGCTGCTTCCTGATCGAATCCAGCACTTATATGATGCAAGGATGCGGATGCATCTGCCCAACTGTAATTAGATACACCTTAAAATCAGATTCACTATTTTTTTATTTATTTCACTTACTTTCTAGCAATTGTGGTGACTCTGATTCTGCGTTGACCGCTGCTGTGTTGGTATTGTGTGATAAACTGTATGCAACCTCTTCCACCTTGAGGAATCGGTGCGGTGTGTTGATTTACAACTTCAAAGAATAACGACGTAGTTGTGGACGGTGTGAGCGAACAGAATTTCCATTGGCATGTGCCACCTAATCCTACTTCCTGCTCCCCTACACTCGCTCCTTTTACGCCTAAAGAGACGCAAGGTCCGATTGCTCCAGAAACTTTAATTTCCCGAGAAGTCTTAACTTCTAAAGTTGCATTAAATGCCATCTTCAAGTCTCCTTTACTGTCTTTAGTGAATACGCGCTGGAACGTTTGTTTAAATAAAGAGGAATTGAAAGAATCTCCCATGACCATGTGACCACCAGTTGAATTACAACACTGCCTCATTTCTAGCAGTCCAGTTTGATCGAGAGCACAGGAATAGATGTCTATTATATGCCCATTGGTTGCAGCTCGTGATGCAAGGGCATCATAATGCTTAATTGCTTTTTTCATATGCTTGGCATTGTCTTTTTGAATATCGTGGTGTGACCTAATGGGTTGTCTCAAGTCATCTGTTACAACTTGGCCAGGTCCTTGAGAACATGGTCCACCAACGAATAGCATTATTCTGGAAAAACAAATATATATTATCTGATCCAAGAGACGCTTAAAAATGTAATTATGTATATAGTACCTAGCCCCAGTGTTGGCATAACTAGCTTCCAAAAGACCAGTAGCAACAGCCAATGCAACACCGGTAGATCTCAATGGACGCTTTCCTGGGCCCACAGGCCATGGATCGCGTTGTAGTTCTCCCAAGAGGTCTGTTAAGCTCATATCACATTTATGTACAGGTTGCAAGAAACGATTCGCGGGTGGAAGAGGCTGTCCTCCAGGTCCTCTCTGTTGATTTAAATTTTGCCCTGGCACTGGTCGACCAATGCCTAGAAAAAACAAAAATTAATACTATTTGTTATCTTAATTTTTAAAAGTAGAATATATGACTTACCTAACATGTCCTGAACCTGTTTTGGTTGCAAGTCTTTAGTACCACGGAAAACGTAACTTTTACTACATCCTTCACAACCTAACTCATGGACTTGAACCATTCTTCCAAATGTAATGAGACCAATCAAAGCATTAGGTGGAAGCAATGAGAGGGACATTTGAAGAGAATCTTTAAGAGAACCCAGCTCCTCATCATCCATACATGTATCCACGACCAACAAGAAAATAGGGGGCATACACTGTGCTCTCTAAATGGAAACAACAAATGAATATTCCGATTAATAAATTATTAATAATAACTTCATTAATTTGAAGTATACATAGATACAATATTACATATGTGCATTTTACAACAGGATCCAATTTAGAATGGAGCTTCTTATGAATAGTACTGTTTTTAATCATAAACAATCCTTACCATTATAGTATATTCAATTGTTGAAAATAATGGAATGAGTTCAGCAGGTTGATGTTGCTCTGAAATAGCAGCATATTGTGGTGGAAACTGAAAGTATCGAGTGATTTAACAAATATCGCTTACATGTTTACGTTTAGTTTTGCTATTAGAAAATATATATGTATACTCACAGGATTTCTCTGAAAACATAGATTGCACACCCATAATTTAGCACGGTAGTCCACCTGGCATAATGGATTCAAAATTGCTCTACAAGTAGACCTTGTGCATAAAACAGGTTCGTACTGTATAGGTGGAAGATCTGGTCTTTCTTTAATAGGTTGATATAATGTACCCAATGGCACAACTAATCTAGTAGCATCAATGCGGGATGAGGGCCAAACATTCCAGGTGAAACGAACACCGTCACGGTCTTCGTTTTGCTGAATGAAATCTTCATAGGTAGTCATGTTGCTGTAATAATCATCGACCATGTAATGAAAAATCTGTAGCATACTTACTGTGTATTATGTACATCGTTCTCAAATATGTGACAAGTGTTACACTATGAAAATGGATTTAGGTTAGTAACTACCTGAACGAATTGATGATTCCCGCGAATTCTCAGTTACGTGGTTGGAACAATTCGAAATAAGGTCCTGCTGTTAGATTCTCATAACTGTAACATTATTCTGTAAATGAATCGAAACGATACGGTTTCACGTTAACAGCACAACTCGTGCCGTCATCGAGGCCACGTCACTTGAAGCAACTTGAAGCTTTGGAAAAATAGCGTTGGCGCATGCGTGGAACGGTTTTTAATGATATGTACAGAAGTTCTCGATTTGAATGAAAATTCGCGAAGTATAGAAAATGTGAAATTTGTATGTAGATACATACATATACGATTGCTATAAAAATAGTATATATATCAAGACAATGTCCACCATTACTGTGCTTTCTCTTCAGTCGTGAAAGTTGAATGAAGGATCTTGCAAAGATTTTTATATAAAATAAAAAATAAACCATAATCAGTGCCAGTCAGCACATATTGAAGCCTTAGAGCATATGCTCTAAGTATTGAAGCCGTCTTAGAAAAATCTCCATCATGTATGTAGTAGGTACCCCGTGTAAATGCGAATTATTAATATTTTTTAGACTAATATTATTATCTGTCAAAGGCTCCTTGAAAAATTAGATTATTCATGTATTTGAGAACATGTTCTTGGAAGATTTAATTTGTTCGTGTAAAACTTAACTTTCATCGTGGGGTCAAAAGCACATAAGTATGTATGTACATCGCTTTAGTAGCATACATAAATGTGTTTCTCTTGCAATGCTTAAATTAATTAGAAGAAACGGAACTATGCAGGAAGTGTCATCAAACGGAATACATATGTAAATCATGTTCAACGTTTAGGGAATGGTAGGGATTCATTCAGCCAATCAGCCGCAAAGTGATAACGACCGACTGTGAATAGACTTGTCGGGTGTTTACTGTACGTATGTATTTACTATTAGTTCAACTCATACATCATACTTTAACGTAGGTCACAAGCTAGAGCTTGTACGCATTATAAAACAAATATTCTGCTGTCGACACAATAGCTTGAAATTTCGTGAAGTCTCCATGTCACGAACATTGCGAGAGTTCGTTTGTGACTAACCTCTGACAAGGAGTAGACAGACAGTTTTTAAAAATGGACAAAAGGTAATATTTTCTTTAAGAAACTAATCGTATAGTAAGCATGTAAAAATAAAATAGGGTAATCATTTTAATGGTGAATATAGCACTTTGCAAACAATCTTTTTTGCAAAGAATTACTGCATTATTTTGGATTCACTTCATGTTTAAACAGTAATGTAGTTTCTTCATTCGCGATCAATCACAAAATTTGGTTTTTTATAAGGTTGGATACAACAAGGTCAAGTTACCAAGAAGATGCCTCTACTCACTCTAAAAAAGCCAGGAAAAGATCCAACAAAAAGAGCAGTATGTTAGGTCCTTGGATGAATAATATTTCGAGCAATCAAAATAGCGACATGGTACCTGGTATGGAGTATCAGCAAGTAATGTGGCAGTCGAATATACAACAGAACATTCAGAGCAATGGACAACGTTTATTTACGGCAGCTTCTGACCCAAGCATGTGTGGATACGCGCAAATGCCAATGACATATACTATGGAACCTGTTTCCTTGCCAACTATGTATAGAGTGTATCAACCAGTACCATTTTCTGGTGTCAGAACTATTCATAATAGACCCAGACGGCATTATAATCAAAATCATCCTTTGAATATGGGCGTAAACACTGCGGCAAACGGTTATACGAGTCTGCAGGAGAATGGAATGGAATCTCCCATGCCTATTAATTATCAAAATGGAGATTACACAAGTTTACCACCTACCGCGAATAAAACTAATGAAATTAATGGAGATGAGCCAAATTCTGAACATCGGAGATATTCTGATCCTGGTCTTGGGTCGGCAGACACCCCTGCTCATACGCAAAGTGAAGATTCCGACAGTGTTGGCAGTGGAAGCTCTATTACAACTATCGGACGTAGCAATAAGCTTATTCTATCATTGATCGAGCAGGTGTGTATCTTTTTTTATAATAAACCACTTGAAACCATGTATAGAATATTTTATTAGACTTTCATATATTGTATTCATTTTAGATGACAGAATTGAAGAAGAGTAATAGTCAGTTATTTAAAGATTTAAATGAGACAAAGTCTGAGTTGGGCAGTATGAAGACAAAGTTTGCACAGTGTAAATATAATACCTCTTCAGATTATCAGCCAGGAATGTTATCAGGTAAATATACATATTAAATCGGTTGCATTGGTTTCTAGTTTGGATATCCGGTAAACGATTATGAATTCGTTAATTGCTTCAGATCTTATCAGAGAAATTAGGCAAGCCAATAAAACATGCGAAGAAGGATTGGTCATTAAAGTGAAATCTATGTTGGAGGAGAAACTAAATGAAAGGTCGTCGGAAGTGACCAGTTTAAGCGTAAGTGATTATTTAATATATACAGATGATTTAATATATCTCCGATAGAACAACAAATTGATTGGTAGGTTGATTTACCCCCCCTTGAAGCAGTAAAATTAAAGCACTGAATGGTCAAGGGTAGTTATTTGAAACACACATTAATTTTATACATTATATTCTTACGTGAACGTTATTATTTCTTTTTACAAAACGTTCGTAAAGCATAACTTTCATTACATTTTCGTTATCACAATAAGCTCCTGATTCTCTCCAAGAGCAATAAATCACAAGTATTTAGGATCCTCATAACTTTCTTTTATCGCGAGAAATTTAAAGTGACTCACTGATGACTGATGATTTACTGATGTACAGATATCCTATTTCTATGCTATTCGAATTATCTGACGACACATTTACGCAACACGACAATATAATAATATATTTGTAAAAATTGTTTAAATCTGCGGTGTGCTGTGTTTGTACAAGGGAGTGGAAGTCTTGAAAGAAGAATAGAGTTTGGACTGGAAAGATAGATAACGTGGGAACGGAAAACAAAGCTAGGGATTCTCTCCCCTTTCTCTTTCTGGACTTTGCAGCACAGTGAAACGTGCCGCCTTGGCCGACGCTTTCGGCATTTCCACAACGCGCTCATGGACATATTGTTTGCGTAGCATTCGTACGCTCTATTTGATTAGGACCGCCAGGTGATCTTCGGCTGTTCTCCCACCGCCTTCTCTTTTTTACAATCTCTCTACCTCGATTATCGTCTGCACGCGAATTTTCATCGATCCGCTCTTCTCGTAGTCTGTCGAATATTCATTTTCTAACACATTATCCATGCGAGGCTTTATCCAATGTCCGATTGAAAGGATCGATGATACATTGATGAGAATTACGTAAGAGTCATTTACAAAGGAATGTGAATTAATTTTCAGTATATGCCTAAAAAAATGCGCAGTGCATATTTAGAAACAGTTGGTTGTTCGTTATAACTTGGAATAAGTCCATTATTGAAATTTTATATTAACTACCGTTATATGTTATACGGTATTTCTTCTGATTTATTGTTACTTACACAGGAATAATATACAATAATTTGTAAGCAACATTTCTAGTTCGTTGAATTTTCATTTTCACTAATACAGCTGTTTGTTCACAATTAATAATTAATTCACAATTAATAAAATATGAGTAAATTACGTAATTGTGATAAATATTTACTTTTGCTAAACAAAAGCACGTACATCTTATTTCTGAAAAAATCTTCAGACAAAAATTCGACTTATAAGAATTTTTATGATAGAAAATATAAATATGTATCTAATTTATACATATATGTATATTATTAGAACCATAGGGGTCTCAAAGAAATACCAGTCCAACTTTTAGAAATCGACGATGTATCATTAATAGAAACAATCGATGCATTATTAATAGAAACAATCAGTACTTTATGTGTATATATTTGCCTCTTTGCAGTGCTAACATTTATATTTACAGTAGTAAACTTTGTGGAGGTAAAACGATGGATTGGAACAGCTTTCGAATAATTTGAGTTTCAGTAAATTTATATTGCAATTAGCAAAGATTTTGGAAGACAAAGCGAAAACAGATCAAGAGAATTGTAATAAACAGAGTATCGACTGTGTAAAAGTTTCTGTAGTATAGAAGGCTTTGCAGTGCAAACATTTATATTTACAGTAGTAAACTTTGTGGAGGTAAAACGATGGATTGGAACAGCTTTCGAATAATTTGAGTTTCAGTAAATTTATATTGCAATTAGCAAAGATTTTGGAAGACAAAGCGAAAACAGATCAAGAGAATTGTAATAAACAGAGTATCGACTGTGTAAAAGTTTCTGTAGTATAGAAGGCTTTGCAGTGCAAACATTTATATTTACAGTAGTAAACTTTGTGGAGGTAAAACGATGGATTGGAACAGCTTTCGAATAATTTGAGTTTCAGTAAATTTATATTGCAATTAGCAAAGATTTTGGAAGACAAAGCGAAAACAGATCAAGAGAATTGTAATAAACAGAGTATCGACTGTGTAAAAGTTTCTGTAGTATAGAAGGCTTTGCAGTGCAAACATTTATATTTACAGTAGTAAACTTTGTGGAGGTAAAACGATGGATTGGAACAGCTTTCGAATAATTTGAGTTTAAGTAAATTTATATTGCAATTAGCAAAGATTTTGGAAGACAAAGCGAAAACAGATCAAGAGAATTGTAATAAAGAGAGTATCGACTGTGTAAAAGTTTCTGTAGTATAGAAGGCTTTGCAGTGCAAACATTTATATTTACAGTAGTAAACTTTGTGGAGGTAAAACGATGGATTGGAACAGCTTTCGAATAATTTGAGTTTAAGTAAATTTATATTGCAATTAGCAAAGATTTTGGAAGACAAAGCGAAAACAGGTCAAGAGAATTGTAATACAGAGCATCGACTGTGTAAAAGTTTCTGCAGTGTAGAAGGCTTTGCAGTGCTAACATTTATATTTACAGTAGTAAACTTTGTGCAGGTAAAACGATGGATTGGAACAGCTTTCAAATAATTTGAGTTTAAGTAAATTTATATTGCAATTAGCAAAGATTTTGGAAGACAAAGTGAAAACAGATCAAGAGAATTGTAATAAATAGAATATCGACTGTGTAAAAGTTTCTGCAGTGTAGAAGGCTTTGCAGTGCTAACATTTATATTTACAGTAGTAAACTTTGTGGAGGTAAAACGATGGATTGGAACAGCTTTCAAATAATTTGAGTTTAAGTAAATTTATATTGCAATTAGCAAAGATTTTGGGGAAGACAAAGTGAAAACAGGTCAAGAGAATTGTAATACAGAGCATCGACTGTGTAAAAGTTTCTGCAGTGTAGAAGGCTTTGCAGTGCTAACATTTATATTTACAGTAGTAAACTTTGTGCAGGTAAAACGATGGATTGGAACAGCTTTCAAATAATTTGAGTTTAAGTAAATTTATATTGCAATTAGCAAAGATTTTGGGAAAGACAAAGTGAAAACGGATCAAGAGAATTGTAATAAACAGAGTATCGACTGTGTAAAAGTTTCTGCAGTGTAGAAGGCTAACTATATAGGCAGTTCCACGGAGTCAGCCAATCGACCCCTAAGAATTGACTTCATCCTATAATTGGGAGGGCAGGCTCCTCCCATATCGGAGGCGACCGTTAATAAAAACCGGTTGATACCGGAGAACCTAATGTAGACGTAATACGAAATATCCGTGACGCGGGTAAAAATGATTAGGTTTCACATGAGGGTGGTACCTTGCCGTGGGGTAGCGCAGGGGGCTGGACGAGGGAAGGGCGAAAGTGTACCCCAAGAGCAGAGGGTGAAGAGGGACGGTGAAGGGTGAAGGATGAGGCACTTAGCGGCTGTCACGGCCTCTCCCTTGGCCTCTTTCCTTTCCCTCTTTCCACGGTCTTCTCGGGTTTCAACCATCCATTAGCCTCATCAGCCGAAGCGATGGCCGTCCGCGCCATGCTGCCTCCGTCGCGTTGCCAATCTCGTAATTGAACCTCCGGGACCTTCCACTTTCGTGCATGTAAATTTTCCTTCTCGTAGGCGACGCCGAATGGAGTCGCACTCGATGCGTCGCGACGCGAAATTCATGTTCTTCACGCGGGCCACGATCCGTTCGGTATTTCTTTTTTCTCTTCGGTGTAGTTGCTCCACCCTGGACAAAAACTGTTCGATCAAACGATTCGAACGTTTATCATTGCATCTGGATTCGGGATTTTTATACAAGCTAAACATTTTCTGAATTTATTGCAAGACATCGGAACTATCTAGCGATAATCAAAAGATATTTCTGATATTTTTCTGTACAGTTAAAAATGTACGAAATTTGTGTAAATCTAATCTTGTTATTGCTACAAAACAATGTGCGTTAGTTACGTTTAGGACTAAACAGTTCTATGTAGTGTTAACACTGCTGCCACGCCAGTGTCCATAATGGATAACACGACTATCTTTCAAGAAAAAAGTAATATTTATTGAATTTGTAGCTATCATAGAGAGAATGGAGCACGCATAGGCGTGTTATAATTCTTACCACAATTCATTTTCGCACACTTTTTGTAGACTTTTGATCCTGTTCTATTTAGTTCACTTCACCGTGAATTAGGATTCTTTCAGCTTTGATAAATTTGATGTTTTTATTTCTATCAGAGAGAATATTATCTAGTCTATGAAATAAATTGCTTCCTATATTCTAGTTTTTCTTGCATAAAAGTCAACAGTTCATTTGCTATTCTCTTACAATTGGAAGAAATTCTGGAATTCTCTGTATTAATACTTTCTTATTAGCTAAATAATAATAAACGATTTTTTTTAAAATGATGGTTTACTGAAACATTCAGATTGTATTGAAACATTTAGTTTTATTGTGTATTATATTTAGGGAAGGACAAATATTCTATATATATTCTAACAAATATATATATAAATATAATATATAATATATACATATAATAATAATTATATATATATATATATATATATATATATATATATATATATATATATATATATAATAATATATATATAATAATAAAAAATATATATAGAATATATATTCTATATATTCTAACAAATATTCTTATAACTTGTTACCAAGTGGAAAGTTAGCAGTGATGTGTCAGCATCCCACGGCAGAGCTGTAAACCGTTATCTGTGAAAAATTACAGGATACTATGTAAATTGTTTGATTTCTTTCGAAACGAGGCATCTTATCTGTGCCGGGTATTATTGTCTCCCTTATCTTTTATCTTTATCCTCGTTCTTCTCCGATGGAAGTAGACGGAGCTCGCCAAGCAGAATTTCTTCACGATCCTTCGTTAATTATTTCCCCAAGAAAATAACCAGAGAAAAGATGCGAATCAATCGACACAAGGTGATCTGCATACAACAATACTTATCGCACAAATCGATAACGATGCAATCTACTGTAATTTTACATTTCTTTTAATCCGAAGTTGCCGTATCGATTTTTCTAGGTCAGACATTAATAATTGGTTATATAGATCTAAGTAATTCTTCGTTTTTTCCATATTCTTCTTTAAATCTTACTTAGCCGAAAGAAATTTGGTTAACACGTAGCAATACAAATTACCGAACGATATTTTAGAAACATGTGAGAAATGTTTAAGAAGTCTTGGTACGTTTTAAATTACAAAAAAAAAAACGATAGTAAAAATCAGATCGCAGGTGGAGGATTTTTTATTAATATCGGTTGTATCTGTTCCAGAATCAAGTTCTAAAGTTGATCGAGGAGAAGGCGGAGAGCGAGAGGCGAATCGCGAAGTTGGAGGACGAGGTTGCTGCCTTGAAATTGCAGGCTAAGTGAGTACGCATTTACGGATTGGTTTGGTTGTTGTAGTAGGAAAACTTGTACAATGAACTTAGGCTATACGTTCTTTTGAAAACTGAGTAAACGTTTTGCTGGTTGTGATTTCGTGACGCACAGATTTGGCACCGGGCACAGTAGAGGACGCAAAAGGTTGAATACTATTGTCGGGTCGGTGGAAAAACGGTGATCTCTTTTTGTTCGACGAGTGGTCTCTACGATTCCTCGCGTGTTAATTTAACAAATATTCACATAAATATCACACATAAATCACGTAAATATTCTTACCGTCGTGCAACGCGTACGCGGTGTAACGTAAACGATTTCGTTCGAAGAGCACTTCTCTTTCGATAGATTTATTCGACGAAACTTCAGCACAGAGTATTCTATTTTTACAAACATTTTTCCTTCGAATCGAGGAGCTGCATAAATCTGTTAACCCATCGCGCTCAGAATTATATTTTAACTCGATCGATCGGGACATCTTTTTTCGACCTGCAGCATTTCCATTTTATAGCATTCTCGAATTTTGAATATATAAAATTTGTTAACGATTCTTGAAACATGAATAAAATTTCAAATTATTTTGAAATATGCGAAGCGTGCAACGGGTTAATATCCTCGATGACGCGTTGCAGCCTCATCTCTTTTTACAGTTTCTCTACTTTCTCCCACTGTTCTCCTTACTTTGGCATCCCACTATACTGTAGATCTCACCATTTTTGTTAGCAACACGAAATAGTTTTGTCCAAAGCTGTAAAAGCAACGAGTGACACGTTTGAAGGAAAATTGCAGATATCACGATCCTTGCCTTTCCAGATGTAGCATCTACAATATCAAGTAGTTCATAAAACAATATACACGGTGTGAAAATGAAACGAAAGCAATCAAAAAACTCTTACTTGACGGAAACGCTTCGAAATCCCGTATTGCAACCGCCATGTTCCAAGCCTAACTGGAAATTTAGTCCGCTTTTATTCTTCCACTTCTATTCTTTCTTCAGCTTCTTCTTTCCTAAAACTTCTATTCTTTTTTCTATCCTTCTATGTACTTCGTCTACTTTCTAAACAACCTCCAAAGCGTATGTCTCTTCGCATTCGCCGTATCATTACCCCCTAATTCTGCCAGTTAACACACCGAGACGCTTCGATACCATTATCACTCCTTGAAAATCTTTTTTCTTGCATACTCGAATTACCTTGGACTTGTCTGATCCGCATCCAAGTCGCGGTTTTGTACGACTAGAAAATCGATTTTTTCATCTGGCATCGGTCCCGCGGCTCATAACACTGTACAGAATATCTTGTGTTTCAGTGAACAATGAGAGAATAATTTTGAAAGGTGAAACCTTGAGTTCGTTCGCGAAATCAAATTTCTAGACAACTGTCTTCGAGTTCACGTTTAACGTCTGGAAATGTAAAAGGCGTTCCTAAGGTGTTTTAAGAGAAATTGCAAAAATAATGTTTTCATTATGATTTACAAATTTTCAGGACTTGACGCGAATAATTAAATCGCAAATCTTTCCGAGGTATCCGTGTCAAGCACCGAAAATTTGAACAATTTGTAAATTTAAATATTCGATACTTGATAATTTCAATTGTCTGTTCGAAAGTAGGAATTATTTAGATGGAAAGCTTGCAACCACGAGTCAAAATGGATCCAAATCCTGCAATCCAAGAATTAATTAAATATTAAAATATTAACCTTTATTTATATATTTAGAATACGTTATACCGCAACGATATTTTGGTATAAAAAGAAACATTCTCGCGTCCTCTTCCCGTCGTTTTATTATACCGCGTATGTTACAATTAAATAAAAAGCTGTAGTGCCCCTTCTTCTAGTCTAAAGAATAGTCAGCAGTTTTTAGAACTCAAAATAATAAGAACGCGACAGCCGTTCGAAATTTTTAGGGTGTGTCGCATCCCTTATGCACTCTATAGAATTTTGATACAGTACGTACAGCAAAGGTTAGAACATGTTTTAAGAGCTCAGGCAGGCTGAATTAAATAAAGCAAAGGCATCTTTAACCTTTTGTTATATTGTTGCAACTAAATTGCTTTTATAGTTATACTATTTCATACGTGAGAGTAATTTAAATAAGATCCCGGTGAAATTTGTTATTAGCTACGCTTTTTCTCCCTCGTACAAATGATTTTCATGTATTCTCGCTTATATATTCTCACTTATATACTCTTCTTCCATCAGTCATCTATTTGGATTCCTCCAAAAAGTTTTCCTAAAAATTTCATTCAATTTACTTGATTTAAATGTACACAGATAAACACTCATTTTTGCAATAACAGAACGAAATCACTTTGAATAACAGAGAATGTGTAAATTATGTGTGATCGGTTTACGAAGGCTTGTTTAAAATTTTCAAACATTTTACAGGATATTTATATAATAATATATAATAATATAATATATATATTATATTATATTATATATATTATATATATTATATTATATTATATTATATTATATTATATTATATTATATTATATTATATTATAT